AATAATTAGTCTCTGTTTCCATGACATTGAAGTTTATCAAAAGTTAATAAACTCAACAGCTCTTTTACAAGATCCACTCTCTTCATGTCCTTATGAACACAGGCACTTCTAGCGGAGGGGTGTTAGGGGTGAGTGGGTGTGAATTTCCACAAGAACATTTGTTCGGTTTAATGTTTGTTGGAATCCATGGGTACTAAAGGAGGGAAACATGACCGATATTATTAAGGAATTAACAAATGCTAAAGATAGAAATCCAAGATTGATTTTTGCGTGGAAGGCATCTAAGGAAACTCTAAATTTAAATCTGATTGTATATATTAAAAGTATGAAGTTTATTGGATGTATTTAGTGCATCGCAATAAAGGATGTATACTTGTAAATACTATTTTTATTTTGATAGACTAGGATCCTTGTTTCTTTCTTATATTTGTCTATATATTATTTATATTGAATGTTTTGAATCAATAAAGAAGAATTCCTTTCAGCCCTTTGTGTTTTCCACATGGTATCAAATACTTGGTTTTTTGGCAACTACTTGTGTCAGGACCTTCATTGTCATGGTATCAACTACTTGCGCTATTTTGAACATGGCGCAAGCTATATAAAAATTATAAAATAATAAACATGAATATGAAATATTATAAAATAATAAGCATTAATAGCATTAAATGGAATTTAGGGAGCGGTACCGAGCGTGTACCTAGTTGTACCGAGCTGTATAGCATAATATGGGGGCTGCCGGGGGTCCAAGGAGGCGCTGCCCCCTGGCGGGGTTCGACCTGTACCTAGTTGTAAGAGGAATTTTGAAGTTCGTTTGTATGGAAATTTGGGAGCAGTACCGAGCATGTACCTAGTTGTACCGAGCTGTACCGAGCGGTACAAAGCATGTAACTAGCGGTACCGAGCATGTATCGAGCATTTACATAGCGGTACCGAGAGGTATCATGCATGTACTTAGCGATACCGAGCGTATACCTAATTGTACTGAGCTGTACCTAGTTGTACCGAGCTGTACCGAGCGGTACAGAACATGTAACTAGCGGTACCGAGCACTTACATAGCAGTACCGAGCGTGTACCTAGTTGTACCGAGCTATACTGAGCAGTACAGAGCATGTAACTAGCGGTACCGAGCATGTACCAATTTGGCGCATTATTTTGCGTCGTGCGCAATGCGCCATGGCTCACATGTGGCGTAAATAGCGCGCGCTATTTTAAACACATGTGCCTCGCCATGAACATGGCGCCGTAGGTGCGCCGCGCCGCGCCGTGCGCCATGGAGCGCGCTATTTTGCGCGATTGACAGCTATGGATATAACTTTCCCACCAACATTATTTGTATTTTAAGTCCATAATTTTTACTGCAGCACTTCAACAGCAACCTCTCGTCGTTGACCTCCACAGTCACATTTGTCTTGTAAGCTTTATAACCTCATATGGACAAGATTAGAGAGAGTTGGCCCAAGCTAGAAGCTTGGGATGTAGATCCCTCTATCAATGATACTTGCACGTTCCTAACTACGCCTGAGAAGACATGGGATTCCAAATGTCAAACATATTCCAAAGCACATGATTCAATCCAAATATATGAAATCAAGGTGAAAGTAAATGAAGCAAAATAATGAAAAAATGTGTAAGAGTTCATGATAAGAGCTGGATCACTTGATCAAAATAATGAGTATTAATGAAGTGCTTAGAAGACATAATCATCTTAAATAACTTATTTGAAAAGGACTGGGCATATGACTTCCTTGTCGGAGTCAATCTTCAATTTGATCAGGTTAGAGTTCAAATTCTCAATGGACAAGAACAACTTCACTTGAAGAGGCAAAGAAAGTCAAAGGGGTGTAATGCTTAAGCAATAGACTTTGCATGGTTCAATTATGATGATGACTAAAATTGAACCTCAAAGGAAAGAAAGAAGAAAGATAAATACATTTTCTCAAGAAGATACAACAAAAAAGACAACTTAAGGTGCACCCACTATAAGAAACCAAGACAGACTTATGGATAATTTTAGGGAACTAACTAGGAAACCACAAAGTTGAGAATGGAGAAATCAGGAGGCCAACGAAGATCTCAATCTCAGGCTCATTTGCTAGAGGCAAACCAGCAATAATGAAGGGTGGGAAAAAGGAAGACTCAATAGTAAATAGATTGAAAAACTCAAATGTTTGATAAGATCCCTTAAGAAGAAATCGTCTGGTGCATGTTCATTAGCACTCTCAAGAGCATCTCCATTTCCTCTTGGGTTAAATATCTCAACAAAGTGTTTGACTAACTCTTGGGTCATCGACTTGAGCCTACATATCAAATTAGTCACACCTCTCAAAATTTTAACTCTTCCGCTCCATGCCCCAGTAATAAAAAATTATTGTTGCAAACAGTTCTCTAGTTACATTTGCTGGGCTAGGAGATATCCATATATCTCCTCTAACCATTAAAAATTTCCTTCATGCTCCTAAATTGTCAACAAATATCATTTCAATTCAAAAGCTTACAAAATATCTAAAATATTATATAGTTTTTTATCCTTCTTATTGTGTTTTTGAGGACCAAGATTCGAGGAAGATTAGACTTGCTAAGAAAAGGGAATGCTATACTATATTAAAATATTGAGTACTTCAAATAGAAGTAATGAATAATATGCCCTCATCCTTTTTGAGTATTTCAAATCAAGATGACATTTGACTGCATCACTTTAGTCTTGATCATCCAACTTTTAAACATCTGAATATAATCTTATGTTTTTTTTCAAAGAATTGAATATCATGGATTTTCATTGTGACAATTGTTAACTTGCAAAACACACTTGTGTACCTTTTGAATTAATCCATATTGATATTTGGGGATTTCTCTATCAACAAAAAAAAAATGATGTTATATTTCATTCCATGACTCAAAATGAAATTTGAGGTGAAGATTAATAACTTTAGGTCTGATAATGGAAGAGATTATTTCAATCAAATTTTAACTTACTACTTTAAGAAAGAAGACATTATAGATGACCTATTATGTTATGTGTCAATAGACCACACCAAAATAGGGTCACTAAAAATATAAGTGGCCACGTAATATCATTTGCTAAATTTTGTTGGGGTAAAGTTGTCCTAGTTGTAGCATATTTAATAAATAAAATACCCTCACAAAATTTATAACATAAGACTCCTCTAGTGTATTCCCAAATTTTAACCTCATGTTAAAAGCTCTAATAGTTTTGTAACTAGAATATTTGGTGTACCTCTTCTGTTCATAATCAAGATATAGAAAATTAGACCCCATAAACGTTGACTGCATATTTATTGCCCTACTCTTCCAAAAAGTATACCAATATTATTATCCTCCTACGAAATTTTCTATATATGTGGATGACATATTTGCCGAATATAGAGCTTCATAAGATTATATCTTTAGAGGGAGATTTCACTTATGGTAGATAAAGAGCATAGTCACTCCAGTTTTCGTCCTTTCTATTTCTGCCTACTCAAGGGCAAAATAATCCAACCAACTCTAAAACTATCCCTTGCAAAACACCCTAAACGACATCACTCAATCAAACATCACTAAGTCTACACCTGAATTCATGTCCAACCCCCATCAACCCAAGGTTAGTCTAGATTGACAACTCCATGAGATTTCCACATGTAAACTCAAGGCATACATAAGAATAAGAATTGTAACAGACAAGACACTTATTTAAAATGTGATCTAATATTCTAATATCACTTTTAATGAGGACATGATAAGTTTTGATCCCCATTGCATTTATAATCTACTGAAAAGGACCTTAATCTTCCTATTTTTGTTAGAAAATGTCCAAGAAATTGCACAAAGAAACATCCATAACTGTTGTCTCAATACATGTTGCTTAAACACCTTTTCTCCACTAAATAAAAATTTCATTGAGATTCTAAATAGTTATTTTGTTCCAAATGCTTTATTTGAGGCGTTGTTAAGATATGAATTGAAAAATTCTATAGAGAGCAAATAGATGCATTGAAAAAAAAATGTGAGAGATTGCCATGCCTAGACGAAAGGATATGATTATGAGCCTAGATAAAAGAATATGATTACAAATAAGTTTTCACTGTGAAGTACAAGGCTAATGGCTCTATTGAAAAATAAAAAACAAGACTTGTTAAGTATCACACACAAATATATGGAGTTGATTATCACCAAGCATTTGCACCTGTGGCAAAGATGACACAAGAAAAAACTCTCTGATCTCTGGCAGCCTACTTCAGTTGGCATATTTATCACTATGATGTAAAAAACGCTTTCTTACATGAGAGATCTCAAACAAGCAACTTGAATGAGCATTGTTCCAATTAAGTGGATAGCTAATACATTTTGTAGGCTAAATATGTTAATGGCGCAGAATGACGCACGAAGGGGAGCACAAGTTCAAGTTTACGCACGTCATGTGTGCCCAATGGTGCATGGTGCTCTCAATTTGACTTATGTTATATATTTTTTAATATTTATATAATTTTAATTTCTAAATAATATAATAATAAATTTTATGTTATAAGTTATTTATTTATTAACTAAATCTAAAAACCTCACACCCCAACCCTAAGTCACGCCTGATCCCTCGCAGTCAAAGCCATAATCCTCTCGCCTGCATGGATTCCGCCTCCCTCATGCCCGACCAATCCCTCCTAGTTAAGCATGAGCTAAATTACTCTTAAACCTTTGGTATTTCATTCTCAGATAAATTGGTCTAAAAATCTCAGATCCTAGCTTTAACACTAGATGGAATAGTAATAACAATAGGTTGAATAGTGCTGATTTATTGCACTAGTGATTTGATTCTAGCCTTGGAAATTTCATGTTTAAGCATGCACATCATGACAAATAATAATAATCTCAAGATAATCAAGCAAGTACATGCTAGTTAATTATATTTCAACATAATATCGGTATAAAAAAAAGTGCTTGAAAGTCATCCAAAGCACATTACCTCCTAAGAGACATTGCACGAAGATAATGGTCACTTACCTAAAATAATGAAGCCCATCCTTTGTTTCAATCAATTCCATGGACAAAGAACCGTCCCATCTTGGCCAAAAACTTGATGGAGTGACAAGAATGGTTCTCCGTGGGTTGTGGATTGCACGTCTTCCACCATGGATTTGTCTCAAGTTTCCCCCAATCTCATTATTTTCAAAAGAACTAACGACTCTAGAACCAAATATTTTTCGTAATTCATTCTCAACTTTTAAATATTTTGAATCCACTGTTAAGATTGAAGAACCACCTTGCTTTTTGGTAGCATCAATCACATTCTCATTTTGTTCTTTAGCACTATGGCATCTATTTTCATGAGAAGCCTTTACGTCAATAGAAAGCTCTTCTAGAATTGAATCGAGTGATTCTTCATCTTTGAACTTGGCAGATTTCTGGATCTCCTTGTTTTTTTTCTTCTTTTTCTTTGATTTGTAGTTCATAACAGGAACTGCATCATAGGCTTTTCTAATCACAGACTGCTGCTTTTCAATAATATCTTCTGTGCTATCGCCAACAGTATCCTCTTCATAGCCCTGATGAGTACCATTCAACAAGCCAAGTGAAACTAAGAAATGATTTAACAAGAAAAAAGATCTGAAGCAGAACAAACTTTCCCATATGTTAGCTTATAGCTGCCAATAAAGTGGTAGAAAAGAAGAAAAATGTAACGGTATGTAAAGAAAGGCCATTAAATCTACAAACGCAATATTTACATAAAGTGGAATACTCAACATTAGCCAACTGTTTATGTAGAATAAAATGATTAGTTATATTCAGAAAATTGCCAAAGAGGTTTTAGGAGTCTTATAAATCATAAATCAATAAGAAGATTTGATGATGACCTGAGATGGCACAATAAATAATTAAAGAAAATGAATGTTCTTTTACAAGATTTAAAAAAAAAAATACTATTAAAATATAATTTAAAATAAAGGAGCTAAAAGAACTGCAAAAATAGAAGAAGCATAGCAAAAGCTAAGCATTTGTATGATTAATAACAAAGACATGAAAGAATATGCTATCAGAAAAAAGACTAAACAAAATCATATTATTATCAAGCATATCATTAATTATATACCACAAAAACTTATCGGAGGAACTTTAGTGCAACATGAATTTTGTAAAAGTTGACAATTTCATGTCTCATATTGATCTTGAGAAGACATGATCAAATTATGTTATATTAACTTAATAAGAATTCAGGAGAAAATTCAGGAGCCAACAATAGGTTAAAGTTATTAAGAAATGTATAATGCAATAATGACTAGTATCAGTACTGGTTAAGTGTTAATGAAGTTCCAAATAATACAAATTTGCAGTAATGATTTGCATTATATTGAAATTTTGTATTGTCAAAATGTTCAAAATTAGTAATTTTTGCCTACTACTACCAAATGACATCCAATAGTAAGCCTTCCAAACAACTTTGGTACAGATTTAGGCAGGAATTAGTAAAGATTTTAGCTAAGTCCTTCCAAACAACTTTTGGGACGTTTAAATCCTGCTATTATGTTAAATTTCATTTTTGTACAATTTTTTAGATTTAATAGGATTTAGTAAATCCTAACTGGAATTTGTTGAAGGGGATTGTACTCACAGTAATGCTCATCTTCCGCTCAAAGTGCTCAATCACAACAACAAAGCTCTAAACCAACAACCTCCAACCACCGCCATACCTCCAAGCAGTCACGGATGACAAAACCACGGCCTCAAAAATAGGCCATGGTGCCTCGAGAAGATCACTAATTTTGACTATAATGATGAAGAAACCAACAAAGGATTGAGTAAAAGGTAGGGTTTGAGAAAGTGAGGAAGAGTGCAAAAAATGAAACAAATCCCTAAAGAAGACTTAAAGAAAGAGTTAGTGGTGGAGGAAGTGGAGGTGGGGGCTTTATGCATGGCAGTTCGGCATTAGTCCACGGACTGATGAAAGAATCAATCCTTTGCTTGATTCTGAATGATATAATTGCAAATAGCTCAGTGATAGTGCTTTCTACACCCTTATCCTCCCCTCCCCTATTCCGTTATATCATAAAACAAATGGCCATAGAGTTTACCATGATTTAACCGGATTTAACAATTGACATACCAAACAGTTTTCAAGATATACTAAATCCTACTTAAATTAACTCGTATATGATACGCAACTTTTCTGAATGTCAATAGTTAGCAAACCAACTCGTTATAGATTTTTACAGATCATCTTTTACACACATACACACACAAAAAAAAACGCGGAAAAGCACAGAGATCCGAGGGAAAATTATATAAGCAAGAAGAAGAATGCCATGCTTCACATATTTGAGCATTAGCCAACCAAGAAATCAGTAACAATTAAATCACTAATCCAACAACAGTCAACAGTATAGAAAATTACCATGCAAACATTACATCGCATCCAAGAATCATGAAATCAAAGCAAACGGACCATTAACCTTAACTTGCGTAGCTCGGGGGAGACCAACCTGATTGTCGAGGAGATCGAAGAGATTTCTGGAAGGAGCGCCGGCGACGGGAGAATCGGACTCCTCCCCCGTCTCATCGCCGCCACCGCCACCAGCATCTTGTTGGACATTGGATAAACCGAGACGCTGCTCATCTTGCTCCTTTAGGACTCTCCGCAGCAATCGAGCAGACATTTCTTTCCCCCTTCTTCTTGATCCCTTGCTTGACACCTCGAAAATCTGAAATAAAAATGTGGCAAATATACTAGGTATTTGATTTTTATATGCGTTCAATAACTTGTAAAAATATGCGGTTTTTTTTTTTTTTTCTTGCCTAAAATTTTTAATTAAATTTACATGCTATCGCATGCGCAATAATTATTTTAATATCGAAAAATATAGGCCAACTTATATTTCTTTCTAAACCACTTTATAATATTTTAATTATCTTAACACTCCTAATTTGATATGAAAATGAATTAATGGATTGATATGATATGTAATATTTAGAAGTTTTAGATGGTTAAATATGTAAATAGAATAGTATTAGGTGTATGCATGTAAATCTCCCTAATATTATTATATTATATATTATATATATATA